GCCCTTCGCGGCATCTCGGCTGACGATACGAAGTATCACCATGTGGTGGGCTCGCTCGACCTGCTGGCCACCAGTCCTCCGGGACCCACCCACCCAAGGGAAATATGCCGCCCTTAAAGAGCTGCTTCTTCGGCGCTATGACCTCTCCGGCGCTGAACGAGCCGAAAAGCTACTCAACCTGTCAGGCTTGGGTGGCGGTACTGCTCTCGAGCTCATAGAGAACATGCTATCGTTGATGAGTTCGCCTTTTTTATTCAGTCGCCTTTCCTATTCACTACCCATTTACACACCTCTCTGGACTTAATCATTAGTTATTCATCTCTGGCTCTCATCCACAGCATGTCTTTATCCTGTTTTCCTTCTCTCACCCCAACCAGATGGCCACCCCTCCCTGAGCCTGGTTCTGCCGAGGTTTCTTCCTGTTAAAAGCGAGTTTTTCCTTCCCACTGTCACCAAAGCACTTGCTCATAGGGGGTCATATGATTGTTGGGTTTTTCTCTGTATCTATTATTGCAGGGTCTACCTTATAATATAAAGTGCCTTGGGGCGACTGTTGTTGTAATTTGCCGGCATATAAATAAAATTCAATTCAATTGAGTTTGTGTGTGTGTGATTAGTCCCAGCTGTGTTTCCCTCCTGGTCCTCATTCCCTCATTACCCCTTTGTGTATTTAGTCCTCTGTCTTCCTCTGTTTGTTGTCGGTTTGTCTGCTTCACTTTCCAGGTTCCATGAACTTCCATGTTTCATGTAGTGTTTTGTGTTTTAGCTTTTAGTTTAGGTTTTGTTAGTTCCCGTCATGCCTTTGCTTTGTAATGTTTTGTGCAGCCCTAAATGAAGGGTAGCTTTTTGTTAATATCTCTCTCCATTTAGGGGTCTGCATGACAGCTACTTTTTACTTAGGTTTAGGTAGTAATACATGTTGTATTATTATTATTTTAGCTATGCTTGTGGTTATTTTTACATTTCTCTTATATAAATATGATTAAATAAATCCTACTTTATTGAAAAACTGGCTATACCATGATTTGATGACTGGAACAGGAACTCCCTTTATCTACTTGTGGTGCTCCATTATCCCTAGAATCTAGGGATCTCAAAGTGCTCGAGAGCTGGTGTCCTGCAACTCTTCCATGTGTCCCTGTTGCAGCACTCCTGAATATAATTGGTAGGGTCATTAGCAAGACTCAATAGAACTTCACTGTATGCTGAGGTGGCTGAGGTCATTTGATTCATGTTACAGCAGCGCATAAGTGAATGAACATGCTGCAATAAAAGTACTTTTAGAAGTACATTTTTCCAAACACTTACATTTACTTCAATTTACTTGAGTAGGGTTAGGGGTTGCCACTTCAGCATGCAGTCAGGTTCTATACTCTTGCTAATGACCTACTAATTTTATTCAGAAGTTTTGCAACATGAAAACACATGAAAAAGTTGCAGGACACCAGCCCTCAAGGATTGGACTTTGAGACCCCTGCCCTAGATGGTATGTAACTAAATCACACTGGCTTTCTTACTAACGGTCATCTATCTGTATTGCTATTACTATTTCTGAGTAAGACATGTACATGATTATAGTGAATAAATGATAAAAAAAATAAACACATTTGAGAAATTACAGAATAATGAGGAATGAAATGCTGTAAAGTATACAGGCTATTATTTGCAAATGATTTATTGGGACTTTAATTAACAGGTCTAAAATCATGTTATTTAACAAACAATATATTGCTATTAACTAATACCCACAAATTCTCACATGCTTATGCCACTAATCATATCATGTTCAGCAGTTTAAACTTCTTAATTTTGTTACTATTACAGCTATATCCTGATGTTCATTTGTGTTTCAAGCCCAGGCAGATCATTGTGTGACTGGTAGCCTGAGCCATCATACTTCATCAGCAGTGACGTTTCTGTTTGTCTATTTTTTACTCTTTTCATCAGACACATTTGCACACTGAAATAAAAGCGTGTGATCACACAAATACCAAACTAAATGCACAACAGTGAACACCAGAACACAGAGGACTGCATCACATCCTCCCAACAGGAAGCAGGAAATAAAGTCTGAGGAGAAAATGGAAAATAAGTGAGTTGTTGATAACAAAATGGCAACAACAGATATCATTTGCTTGTAAAATTGCTGTCCTACAGACCTTCCTCCACCTGCTTGGGAGGTTTTACGAGGATCATGTGACACAAAGTGTTTGTGCCCAGGCTGGAGGCTTCCCATCATATGCAACATCCAGCTCCGCCCCACTGTGCTCCACCTCACCACATCCATCAGGTCCAAACAAAGTTTCAGGATCAGAATATGGTTTCTCAAGAACTTTGAGAACCCTAACAATCTGCAGGACACATTGACAATAACCTTTAAATGACCTGTAACTGGAGGTACAATAAGTTCACTCAAAGAAATGAAACAGCTGCTAGACATGCAACAAGGCAGGTGATGACTGAAACATGTTTTTCTCCACCTAGTGACGGACTCCGTTTAACTGACTTGTACTCACTTCAATTAATTCCAACAATAATGCTGAGGTAAACAAGCACTTCAATGAGAAATTCACACTCCTTAAGGACTACATTAAAGTTTCATGAAAAAAATGTTGCCTAACCTCGGAGAAGTCTCCTTTTTCTGCAGCTTGAATTGCATTCTGAGCAATGTAATTGCGTAAGACCACACGGGGGTTGATGCCGTTCATCACTTTGAGTCGCTCCTTTATGATAACAGGTAAGTCACTTGTGCTATCACACTCCCGTCCTAAACGCATCCTGAGATTCAAACACATAAAAATGCAAGATGGTAGAAAAATGATGGGGGGTAAAACAGATATTCCTGCTGATTCATACAATCTGAAACATTGTGTAAATCAGCATGAACAGATATTTAGCTAGGCAGCACTGTGGTGCGGTGTTTGCATGTACTATTTATACGTGGCTTCTTTCCGGTACTTTAGCTTCCTTTCATGGTCCCAAGACGTACATGTTTGGTTAAACTGGCAATTCTAAATTTCCCTTAGGTGTGAATGTGAGCCCAGGTGGTTGCCAGTCTCTCTGTGTGAGCTCTGCAACAGACTGGAAACCTGTTCAGGATGTACTCAGCCTTTCACAGCTCCAGCCACCTTACAGCCCTGAACTGGATAAGCGGAAAAAGCTTTTTGTTTCATATTGGATGGATGGATAGATGGATAGATAGATCACGGCCTTGCTGTATTGGTCCATTTGATCGACCTTTGTTGTTATTATTTATTTTATTTTCAGTTGTTACAAACAGGACAGGCATGTCTGGGGGATAGGAAAGGGAGAAAGAAAGATGAAGGAAAAGAAAAACAGAGGGGAAGAGGGACAGTGAGAAAGGACACTTAAAAAGAAAAGAAAATCTCCCGGATCACCTGTTGAGAGAAAAAAAGACAGAAAACATGCAAAAAAAAAAAAAAAGAGCGCAACATAATAAACACAACACCATCGCATTAATCTAGCTAAGCGTAAATAACAGTAAATACTAAATATTGAATATTGTTTTGCAGCACGCAGGACCAACAGCACAATGTGCTTCGAGGTAGCAGCCAAGAAAGGTGTAGTTTGTGTCTATGAACAGTGCACACCTGT